TCAGTCCAGCTCCTCGAGCGCACGTCCTAACCCCATCACATTCTTTCTTCTTTCGATTATAAAGGTTTATGCACACAGATTGCCATTGAACTAGGGCTGTGAAACACCGGTGTTCTTGTGTGGCCTTCTTTCAATGGCTGGAATAGTGATGAAGATTAATGTTGCACAAGTTGATCAGTAGCATATGCAAATTCGTGAACTCAAACTCTTCTATATAGATCTCAAGTCCTACTACCTTTCAGAAATAAAACCCACTGTGAATATTTCCAATCCGGATGTCAGTGAACTTTGTTTCTACACCGCATTGGCTTGGCGAAAGCTGGTGATATTTTATGCAGCAGCAGCTGACTGTCACCGCATTCGCCCATGAACAGTCAGAGGCACGAATCAAGACTGCTGAGCAGTGGGAGAGCAACCGCCGCGACCGTTTACTGGGGTCATATTTAAGCGGACCATTGTGCGAAGTTGATGAACAGCCCAGACAACTGAGATTCACTTTCTTGTCACCTACGCCATGTGTCTATACCTTACATGGACCTTGGGTCATCTTACTGGACATCATCAAGTTACCCGTCATTTTACCCTGGTGCAGCTGAATCCCCGTGCATGAAATTTGAAGTTGCATAGTTTCAAGTCTGCTGAAGTTGAGGTTTCTAATGTGTACTAGGTATGGGGGAATGAAGACGTTACACTATCACCACAGATTCCAGCGCGTGCACCGCGTACGCCGGCCGCAGCAATGATATACGACAAAAATGACACCCTTATCTATCCAAGATAACAGGCGTGCAGTTTGTGATAAGGACATATATGATCCAGTTTCCACTCTACGAATGCAACTCTATTCTGCGTACAAGTGAGTGGTCCGATGGGCTCACCGAAACACAAAGATAATGGATATACGTAGAAAGTAACTATCATCCGATTAAAGTCAGGCTCCCATGTTATCTGTCAATAATATATGTATTCTGTTTTAGTGCAGTATTGTCACCTATTTCATGACAAAGTGATTGATATCCATAGCTGATTATTTTGCGGAGTGCCTTTTAGACGTAATAGCTTGCCAAAACTTTCTCTATCGACGCAAACGTGCAGCGTCGGTAGATAGGGAACTCCAAGTACATCATAGCTGGATGAAAAACAAGGTGTTACATCCGGCCCGAAAGACCAATTGTGAACCAATCAACCACCAGAAAGAGGAGTCTGTATGCAGAAAACATTAGCTTCTGGAAAATATGAAATCGGACGATGACAGAGTGCATAACAAAACCAAGAATATCAACACCCGAGCGGTGGCTGTCACAGTGGTCGGGGAATGACATACTTACTCATCTTTTTCATAAACCTTTGCTCATGTTCTTCTGAAAAGTGGATTAAGTGATACGATGGAAGTGCTAACATTGTTAGGCCACCGCCTAACTATTCGCATCATATACACACCCGCTGTCAAAAGTGGAAAAGTGCAAGAATCTAAAAGTACAAATCATAGTCAGCTGTATAAGCACAACAAGATACAGGGGAAGCTCACATAAAAAGCCGTTCTTCTGAGCCTCTCGTGAAAACCAAACTGACTTGCAAATTGGTTTATTTCTCGAAAACAGTCCAATTTAGGTTCAAGTAGAGCATAAGGTTGACGGAAACCCGGGGACTGCGCCTACTTGATGAGCCTCAAGAAGGGCGTGAGCTGTCGAAGAGTTTTCAGCACCCTTGTAAGTAGTTTCCTTTATGAAAAATGTTCTTCAGTTTTGCATTTGCTCATGAAATCTGTGTCCAACACAAGCTCCGGATAAATTAGAGAACGTGCGATATATATATATATATATATATGTCATGGTAGACGAAAGAGCATTTAATTTTCAATAGTATCGCACTTCCTTATAATAGGCGGCAACCTTACGTAGAACATAACTTTCGTTGCCCACAAGATATGACATCTTGTGTTCTATGTGGAACCAAGCACCAACTGAATATCATGCGTACTGGTTTTTTAAGTTTTAAATACTTATTAAGCTGCGACTGACTAAACTGACTTTGTCCGTCCAATGAGGTTTTCAGCGACGAAAATTTGAAGCTTTCACAACGCCCGAAATATAACCTTCTTGAAGTGGGCGACTACACAAAATATGAAATCAATGGGGTCAACTCCAGTTTTTGTGCAGCAATTATAGCAGGCCTGGTCGAGACACTTGGACTCTACGAATTGCGTCCACGAATAAAAACGGAAAGCGCTGAGTGCAGTGACTTGTGACGTACGGACCTCACTAATTAATTCTTCTTCTCGACTACCCATCAGCAAACCTGCTGTCAGATCTTGATCCATTTGCTTTTTTTGGTTTCCAGGTTTATATAAGTAGCCAACCAAGTAGCCTGAGCTGTTGAGATTTAACCCTACCTAGATATTGAGTATACTACCCTTCTTTTTATGTAATGAAGCAGTTCCCTTTGGGCTACCTCAGCAGCCCAGTTTGGAATGAGGCATGCTCTTCAGTGTCAGATTGGTACTGTTGAAATTTAACCCTACCTAAATATTGAGTATACTACCCTTCTTTTTATGAAATGAAGCAGTTCCCTTCGGGCTACCTCAGCAGCCCAGTTTGGGATGAGGCATGCTCTTCAGTGTCAGATTGGTTGGTGAGCAGAACAACGTTTTTGTCTTGTTTACGCAAGCTTGTGGGCTGACTTTTGAGGCTGGGCTGTGTTTTTTGTATTAAACTTAGACATGCTCTTCTCAGATTGGTTGATGAGCAGAACAACGGTTTTGCCTTGTTTACGCAAGCTTGTGGGCTGACTTTTGAGGCTGGGCTGTGTTTTTTGTATTAAACTTAGAAGCTTTACTCTGGTACCAGGCTCTTTCCTTGAAACACCCATGTAAGAAAAAGCTAAAAACGTGTGGAGAGGAGTTAATAAACCGTCTACAAATTCAGAGCAAATCCATTCTACCCTATTTTTCCACGTGAGTTAACGTCTCCTGCTACTCTACAGAATATCATATGAGTTTTTCAGCGATGGCATCAAGTGTCTACTTTTTATGTCTTATCAGCCGTCTACAATCAGCTAAACTGCACCATTCGTGATGTAGCGTGGAAATATATGTTCGCGGAAACGCCTGGTGTTTTGTTTGCGTAACTTTGCAGTTGGTTATGCTCTCTTCTGGTGACTCTAGCGTCCACAGTCTTTATGATTTTATGTGGAACTTTTGAAGTCAAAACGCAGCGCTGTGGAATATGATCTTATAATCCGACGTTTCGGTTGGCGGGGGCAATCATTTGCAAGGATTTCTACAGTTAGTTTAACATCTTATTGCAGGTAAGCTCTGGATTTTGTGGTTTGCAATTCCACATTAAGTTGTGAATGACATTATCCAGGACGAAACTAACGATGCTCAGAATAGAGGGAATGATTGTGTCCTGTACTTATCAGAGGAATTAGGTTCACCATCCCTTTTGATATAAGATTCAGCAGCAGCAGTAAGGACAACGGTGAATTTCCCCAGAATTTTTTACCGGAAAGAGAGAAACCAAACAAGCTTATATTTTTCATCACACCTGAGAAGTACAGGGCCCAGCAAAGATTTACTGTTTTGCGTGGTGCTTGTCAATCATCTGTACCATTTTTCAAGCGCGTGTTTGTATACGGGTAACAACTGCATAAGCCCTGCATAGCAGAATCCACGCCTGATGTGAACCTGATATGAGTAGCTTTCGTTTAAGATCATGTGATACGTCAAAATTGTTTGGGTTCTTGAACAAGGGAGAATAGAAAGCCTAGGAATTGTTTTTTGTGGACACAATACATTCTCTGAATTGTGTTGATGAGATGGAAAGAAAGTTGAACGTGTCAGAAGTTGGAGATCAAATTAAAGGGACTAAACAAAAGATAGCCTAATAAAAGGACATGGGGTAGATGTATTAAAAATAAGGGAGGCAATGGAAGTCTTGTTCGTGAGCATGCTACGTCATATGTTTTTTTCTGCATACCTAGTAAGAAATTACTCTTCTTCAAACTAATTAAATAATGGACGAATAGGCTGGTTGCTTTAATTTCCAGTATAACCAATCGACTAATTTTGCCATGTTGAACCTTCGCAAAACCTGATCTAACCTACTCCTATCTCCTATCCAATATATCTGACCTCTCACTTCATTCGAATGACTTCATGAGCCTTACGATGCTCCTGTAACTTAAAGCTTTTTAAACGAAAACCACCCATGATTACCTCCCATCTGTGTTTCACAATTTTCGAGCAGTTTTGATTTCTAATACTGAGGACCTTCGCCGCCGAAGGAAAAATTAAGTCCCGCGAGCTTGCATATGTCCCGGAAACTCAGTCGTATCGCCTTTTTCAATGACGACCTTAGAACTTAAACACATTATCATAATGTATGCATTATTCGCATACATTTGTATAGGGGAACTTGTTTACTCATACATTCATGTGTATGACTCGCATCTGAAATGTAGCTTATAGAAGATAACCACACCTGGGCGTACAACTTGTCTTTTGTGTATCCTTTTGTTTGGACGGATCACAAAATTTTCAGGAAGGAAGTAAAACAATTATTCAAACTGGGCTTCTTTGGATAAGGATTCTAAAGATATGACGTCCAAAAACAGAACACCTGTTGCGCGTAAGTCAGCTAGATTTTCACAGCCCACTGAATAATTTTGTTAGTCTGCCTACCCATACATCTTGTTGTAACACGTTGACAGGTTTGCAATTGATACTGAAAGGAAATTTGGATGAGATGTACCAATCTTTCCAGAGGCTTGCAAGCAACCAAAATTGCAACCATTCGTCGTATTGCATCACCAAATACTAACACTACGACCACCAAAATGAAACAATGCTCTCTAGTTCTGTACGGTGCACGCGCAAAGCAATAGTGAGTGGATAATTCCGGTGAACCATGCTTAATGAGGCCAGTTGTAGATAGACGGCAAGAAAATTTGCGCAGTGATATGAAACAGAAAACGCCAAATAAAAATTATTCTTGACTTACCGTCTTTGTCAACAAGCAGCGGTTCGCCGAGTTGAACGAAGAAAAACTCCGATTTCTCGTAGTCATTATCGTCCACGACACGTACACGGATGGTCGCCCTGGAATGTACGAGAAAGGTAAACGTTTTAGGAAATTTAAAACAGCAGTAAAGGAAAAGCACACTTGTTTTCGCCGACAGAAAGCTAAATACATCATAAATTGAGACAGTCAAGACTGAGACCCAGGTTGGCAAATTATCTGCTAGAGTTTGTAAGAGTTTATAAGCTGAGAAATAAAAGTTGTCTTTCCTGAGAAAATACGATACAGAAAAATCGACTCCTGATGACGGCGTTGACGGTGTTCCGTGATGCAAGAAACCAGTTTGGAAATTTCTTCAAACAGCTTTGTCACTATCAAGTTTCTGATCAATTTTTAGAATTCCTGAAAATTGGTATTAGATTGATGTACAAGACAAGATCTTGACTACACCAGATGTTTACGGAAGCTGCGCATGCCCACTTAGTAGCTGATGTGCGAAATAAACAACGAGGTGTGTGAACATATTGTGGTAAAAGCAAGTTAGCATCTTATTTCCTCCAAACTAGCGCTTTCACATTAAGCACCTCACAGAAACTGTTTGCAATATCGGGCTTTGCACGAAAGTGAACTGGCTCCATCTATGAGATTATGTCCAAGGGAGACCACCTTCGAACTGGAACTCGAAACATGGTGTGGAAGTGCCCTCTTTCCCGTCAGCGCAGTCAGCCCAAATATTCGGTGACTATAAATACAGGGAATTACACTCATTTGCATCTTGACGGGAGACTCACCTGGAACCCAGCTCAAACTCTCGTTTATGATGTTTCAAGCAACTGAATGGCATGCACCAGACCGTCTCATTTTTGAGTTGGTACGATATTCGAGATATCGCCATACATGTATAGACATAATACATTATTTATAAGGTTGCTGAAAATTCCTCGACAGCCCACGACCGGCCTCGTCCTTCTGGGGGCTCACCAGTTAGTGAAATGCGTCTAAACGGGTAACGCAATATCTCGAGCATCGCACCAACCGAAACACGGGGTGGTCTGGTGCAGCACATCCAGTTACTTGAGAATAACATAAACGACATAGTCAGCTGAATTCCAGGTGGGACTCCATCGAAACAAAATTGATATGCACTTGAGTGTATTTCACCAAATTCGTTCAGTTTGGGTTGGAGTAGAACATAAGGTTGACGGAAACTCGAGGACTGCGTCTACCTGATGAGCCCCAAGAAGGGCGAAACCGGTCCTGGGCTGTCGACAGTACTGTTAACAATACTAGTTTAAGCTGTAAGGTTCATAAAGGCTACATTTTTTCCCATGTGGCTTTGTAAAGAAACTGAACAAAGATTTCCCATAATAATCGGGTCCTAGATTTAAAAAAGGTTATAGGACTCTTGGCCAAAAACGGTTGAAATTGGGAGCATTCTAAAGAGGACAAGACGACTCGGGAGTAAGTCGATCTATCTTTGGACCTTACATCTCTTGCCACATTAAATTTCCCACGAAGCCCTTTCAAATTTTTCTCTACCTTTAGTTCTTCACCTTCGAACTTGTTTTGTGCCTGAGTGTCGGGCGAATTAGTTTTCAGAATTCTAAACTGCACTTTATCTTGGAAATACAGACAGCCTCCTCTGAACAGATCTGCTCTCAAAAATATGTTCGAATGACAACCGAAATATCTTTTCAAATGCCAAGTCTGTGAAAAAAGGAACTACGACCCAGAGAAGTCTATGAATGGATGAGGCACTGAAGCGCAACGGCCCACCTCACTCATGAGATAGTCTGCTTAAAAGAGACGGAAACTGGCCAGACTTGTCAATCTATTGATTTTTCGGCTGTAAATAGGGTCAAATTTGTTACCTTTAGTTGCTAGTTGAACAGGCACTAACCCTAATTCAGAAAATATCACTTTTATGTTTGTATCCAAGGTTTACGCAAATGGAGTGCCCTCAGCGTAATCATCTTGATTGATCCCTCGGGATGATATCTTCAGAAGAGAATAGCCGTAGTGCATCATGCTGAATGTTAACAATGGATCATGTTTAGTTGTACCTTTGTGTTTTTATTCAGTCCAAAATATTGACCTTTAAACCAAGCCGCCAAACCATCTCTCCACTGAGATTTTCCAAGAATCGACTTTCCAACTGTAATCAAACCGTGAGTACACAAATCGTAAGAGACTATAAAACGCTATCGTGACCACCTATTTACTCTAAGTTATTAATGGCTGCATGCCGCACTGCTACTTGTGATACGAACAAACCTAAATGGATTTCGCTTTTATGTCACTAGTTATCTGTCCTCGACCATGATTTCCACCCACTGGTGACTGATGATCCTGGTGAGGGGTGAAACAGTTCAGTTGTCGATAAACATCCTCACCGATTGTCTTCGACCGGCAGCACACATACTAACCGAAAATGATATTCGCCAATTTCTAGGCAATCCCGTGAATATCGCTTCACGTGTAGTAAAGTTTCAACTGCCAGGTTGAGTTTACCTCTAACTCCTCAAAGTAACGTCATAACGCCGTGACTGTGGACGAATGTGATAGGCCAAGTTATTTTTGTGCAAAAACTGGCAGCCACCGGACACACACAGTGGTTTGATTACAATCACGCAAATTTACCTTTTATCGAGCCGTTACGAAATTACATTCTCATTTCACCGATCTGCGCTGTTAGTTACAACTTCCTACAACTTTTTGACAAAGCGGAAGATACGGTTGCGCATACAGCAAGGATCGATGGGGGGTTGGTGGTTCCAATAGAAACAGCTTTCGGACAAGCATTCCACATATCTGACCATCGTTACAAAACAGACGTTTCCCACGGATGCTGATATCCATAGGTATCTCTCTACAATAGTGGATTTCAGTATAGACCCCCTGTATTCAGGATTTAACGGGAGCTTTTCCAAAACAGAAAGATAGGATGCACAAACTGTTATCCCACGCATTACATGAGTCTTGGTAAACCGTCACATATACATCGGCTAACCATAATATGACTTTGTGGACAATAATATTCCGTCCGATCACATATGCTAGAGGTATAAACAGACAAGTTGAAAAGCTCGCTGTAGACATCCGTGGCAGAGAGTTCACGTACAATACCAGTCAAATATGATGTATACCAGCGGGGGAGGAATAATTGAAGCGCGGGACTCCATAAACCTTGAACGTCACAGTTAACAAGTCGAACTTTAGAGCAAAACGGAGCCCTATGAAATGAATATTCCTCTTTAGTTATGGGTGTCCCGGTTTAATTCATTTAGACTGGGATACCAAACACACACTCGAGTAGTCGGAAATACGACCGACCCCAAAATTCGATTCCTCGTCAATGTGAAATGTGATTCTGTTTTTCGGTTCCGGTATCTGTCATTTATCGACCAGCTATCTCCTTTACCCGTCAGCATTAGGATAGAGTGTAGCTTGAATTTTCAGATATTCCATTCAAATCTTTAATGGATGTTTCCCACCACACACCATTTTCGTGATCTCGGGAACCAATTCATACGGCAATTGGTAGGTGACACATTTACCAGCAATTTGGATGCGTTCACCAAGGCTGAGTCAGCGTTGTACAATGAACCTGGTAGTAGGGCCACCTTCCAATCAAGCACCTTGTTTACTACAATTTAACGCAACTACAAAATGCTGAATTGGATCGCATGCATCTCTTGAAAACTGACCCATTTCTTTTGGCCTACGCCAGGAAGACTAGCTGTTTAATTTGACTTTGTGGTGGCGTTTCCGCTAGTCTACTAGTCCTCACAAACTCTTCACTTTTTCCCTTGAGACGAAATTCATTGCCAAAACTTATGGCGAACGATATCCTCCAAATCTGGTTTTTGGAGGAGTGTTTCAAATCCAACAATAAACATCGTTGTATCAATGATATGTCGGGCCTACCAATTAAATGGCTCAAGAGTGAACATGTTCGCCCGGACGTGGGAATTCAGATGCATCTAACGTGCGCTGACAGAGTAGTGTTAACAGGTTCGCCTCGCATGTCAGGTGTCCGGAGTTCAAACCCCGGCACGGTCATGCACTGCTGATGAGCTCTAATAAGTGCGAAACTCAAGTCCAGCGCTTCGCTTCCATTTGGTGTGGATTAACCAGAATAACTGCGCCAGGACATAAGTGATGTGAATGTGAACAATACAAATCCTGTGAACCACGCAATATATTGGTATACCGAAATCCTTTCCAGATTCTAGTGCATATCTATGATTCTTCAGCAAATTATGGATGACATACTAAAGAGTTCGTAGTTTGCTCTCTTTTACAGGGGACGATATCCTCACTGCTGGTCGATCACCAGAAAATCAGCAAGTGTATTAAGACCAATTTGTCAGTCATATCCGTCAGCGGCCACTAACCATTGTAGACGCTATCCTGATTGAGAAGGGATTCCACCATTACAAGGCTTCAGGTATTCTCACACACTCTGGGACTCGTGAACTTGCAGTTCGATATATCCCGCAGTAAATGCTCTACCACCACTTATTATTCCGCTGCTCATATGCGGCATTTTGTGCACCAGTTTTGTCTTTGGAAAATCCTGGAATAGCTGAGTGTGTGCATATTTGTTCAGAAAAACAGGAAAATTTAGGTCCACCTGCATCAGGCACATGTCACATCTGGTCGCTTGTAAATCAAATAAACGAACTAAACTGACGACCGTCGGGTACTATTTTACACACTTTGACGTTACAGTCTTAGCTGCTAAGAAACATAACATCAGTCGATCGAGAAAGAGAGAAATTCACAACCTTCAGAATTGAAATTTAATTGGAGAACGAAAATCATCCAGCCATCCGGGACAAGTCATGAAGGATTTCATTAAGAATCCTTACGCTTATCTTATCCACAAGAACAATGAGTGTGCTTTCAATTCTGAACAATGGCCTTAGGTGGATTATATGAAAACGGTCAAAAGTGTAGCTTTTAAGTAAAACTAATAGCAAAAAATGGGTTCCTAGACCTGATTTGGACAAGATTTTCTCCTACTAACTTCAACATGAATATATATTCAAATGAAAACAACCAGACCAGTTTCCAT